ACAATATGCCGCTATGTAGATGTAGATCGATAAAGAACACGAGTCGTGAAACAATGGTAGATTACCACCATCTCCGTAACTAGCTAATTTTATCTTTAATAGCAGGTGTCCAGATCAGATTTTCTTCTCAATCCGTTGATTTTTACTCTCAATAGATTTTATTCTTTAACACCAGATATTTTTAGATTTTAATAAGCGTAGGAAACCATGTGACATAAGCTGGTATGCTTCATTTTTTTATATTGTTCCGATGTCAAATCATGCGGCGAGGTGTAGATTTTTTCTAAGAGTTTCCTTATCCATCATCATCAACAGCCATTATCTCAGTATTGTTACTTACAGATTACAATACATGACCTTACAAAAGAGTAACACATTCTTTTTGAATACTGAACATTCATCCAGACAGCGGAAATAAGAATGTTGAGTCTTCTGTCAGCGAACATACAAACATAGAATATTTTAATTTGCGGCTGTGTTCTCATTTTTCCGACTGCGCTGGGATATTATCTGGTAAAAGGAATCTAATTCAAACAGACCTTTCGAACACATTCCAGTAATATAATTAATTGTTCATCAGAATTCTTAAACCAAACATGTAATAAAATAGTTCTACACATAAGTACGCAGATACGTATAGGAAATATATAGGAGTATATTCGAGATATATTTATGTAGGAATATATATATATATATATTTCCTATATAAATATAAAATATTTAATTATATAGGAAAATATTCGAGAAAGAATCAAAGAACTTAAGCTTCTAATAGTATAAATAATTCAGGAATTGTAGCAAATGCGACAATTCTGTATTTTGATATTTCCTTTATTCATTGTTAGGAAGAATGATTAGAGAATTAGGACACGAAAAAAGTAAAATTTTAGATAACAGTGATAATATATATTCAGATTTAGAATTGAGAATTAATGTAGGTAACAACAGCTCATTATTATTATCAGTTAAGAGATGAGCAACAGGTTCAGCAATTGAAAGTCTTTGACTATGAAGTAAATGTTTTACAATTAATTGGTTATTTTTTCAGATTTTATAACATTCTATACGGAACAAATGAAACAAATTGTGCAATCTTCGTATGGGGAATAAAGGGTAAAAAAAATCAAATTTTCGACACTTATTTCGATTATTTGTAAGTAGAATTACTTTTACTTAGAGTAATTCAAGGAACATATAGCTTCTTGTGTATGAAATTAACGCTTTAAGTTAACGCAACCTTTTTTCCAAATACTAATGACTTGAACCCCCACATGTTTTAACGTGTAGATGCAAGTTCTGTTAAGATGTTGAATATTTTATATAATGAATTATTGAAGTGAAATTTTCGTTAATATTTATATTTCTGATACTTAGCTTTTCATGTTTTTATGATTCAGAAACATTATTAATGCATTTGTTTTTAAAAAAACAGCTACACAATTAATTTTTAATTGACAACAAACAAAAATCTTAATTATTATTTATGAAAATTAATTTTGATGGTAATAAATTATACTCTTCTTAAAATGATTTTAAAGCAATAACAAGAAGCTATATATTTATTTCCTATTTTTATCAAAGCAAGCGAGTTTAGCATGCCTTTTCAATTGCTCTTTTCCTTTTATTTTGCATTACATCTAGAAACAGATTTCCATTCATGAAAGTAAGACAAAAATTTTGTTATTTAAATTTCCATTAATTTTTCAAATACCCGTTAAAAGCAAACTGAAGTAATAGAAGTAATTAATTAAAATTAAAAGACATGCAAAATGGGAAAAAAATCTCGGTTTGAATAGAGGGTATGATAGTCAAGGGAAATGCTTTCGCAACTTGAAATTCTACTAGAGAAAGACTTACGAATGCTGAGCAGCATAAATAGTTTTACTGAAATTCCTTTCTCAGCAGTGCACTGCAGAGTATTTTAAGAGCTTTATCGCAGGGGTTCTCAGCCAGAGGATTTCCGCTAAAGGGAAATTTCGTCGCTTAGGGGGGAAGTACAGCTAGTCTTTTATTTAGCTGTTAAGTAATTCGTTTGAGTTTATAAATAAAAAACCAGCTTTTATTCAAGTTTTGGTATTTACCAGCATTTACTATACTTTTTGTTGTTTAATTAAAAAAACAAGTTAGAAAAAAAGACTAAATCTAAATAAATGTATATATGTTTTTTCGAGTTTTGAAAAGGATGGGGGATGATCTTCTAATAATAGTGCAATGGACGCATGGGGCGAAAAAATTGAGAAACCATGCTTTATCGTTTCTAAATATACCTTTGCATAAGTATACATACCATCGTCAAACTAAAGACCAGACCTTCAGCTCAATTCTTTATTCCATGTCTTATGTAAATTTTTTTCTTATATTAACTCTGACTAAAAAATTTACAGTTAAACTTGAATCACGGCTATTTCATATTTCTAACAATTATACATTTCTATGGTGTATATAAATATCGCTAATGATTTTATTTTCAGTTTTGCGCCTCTTTCATGTATAAATATGTTTCGTTTGTGCAATCAGTACTAAGAAAACTTTATTTTATAATACCAATTAGTTCTCATAGAAAGTTTTATTACAGATAATTTTTAATAACTTATTGAAAGATTCATTAATTTAAATTCGAATTGATAGGTAAAATAGAACTTTAATATTCAATTACAATGCTCGCAGATTTATTTGTGGGAAAAAACATAAAGCAAATTTCGCGTAGTTTCAAAGGAATGTAAATAAGCAATAAAAACGAAACTTAGGTTGAGGTTTAGAAGTGAGCAATTTACATATGTTTGCCTCCTAGAACAAGATTTATTGCAGAGAAGAAATTCTACCCTTTTCTGGGCAACGCTGTGAGTGAGCTTGTAGTTACGTCATGCATCAAGCATGGATTTGATTGGATGAAATTTATACACTGTAAAAATCGCACATAATAAAATATAATTTTCGATATGAATGAAACTGTTTTAAAAGTTATGAATTAGAAATTTTTAATCTATTATTTTATTTAAATTAACAACATTATTTCTTATAATTTAATAAGATTTAGTAAAATGTGAATGAGAAATGACATTAAAACGAATTTAAAGAAAGAAGAAAATTATAAGTACATACTTTTTAATTTATCAAGCAATATTTGTTGCATATATTTCCTGTGTATAAGTTCTGTATGTAATTAATTAATACTGCGTTTAATGTACCTCGATAAAAAATTAGCTTATGAAAAACAGGGATTTCGTAAATATACTTTCACTACTATTTAAAATTTTATCGGTAGGCAAGTTACGTAACATATACATAGATATAATCCTGACAGCAAACCATTTGACTTTTAATTCTCTAGGAAAAATAGTAAAATTAATTATTACTATAATTTTGCCAAATATAATATTCACAAGCTTACGTAGAGAATATTGCTACTTGCTGCTGAAAGTATAATAAGAACACTGCGAGGTGTCGCATTTGTGATATCATCACGATACATATATACAATTAAGTGATATTATTTAATTTACTCATTTGTGGCGTTTATGTTTTCCAAAAATTTCGAAACCCTTCAAAGTAGAAGGTTAGAAATTTTTGCTTCGGGTATGTTACTCTGGTAATTAAAGAAATTAATAAAAGCTCACTAAAACATAATACGTAAAACCTATTTAAAATGTGCTTAGTAAATGAATGGAGAAAGTGCATAGAAATATTGTAGAGACATTAGGATATTTGTTTAAAGCAGGCAAGATGAAAAATAAGCAATCGCCTTCGCCGGGAATCGAACCACGGACCTCTGAAATACCGGCCCAGCGTGCAAAACCAGTACACCACGAAAGTACGCTAAGAAAGCGGGAGAATTACCTTATAATATAAAGCATAATTTGATGTAAACTATTCACAGTGGTCGTCAAGATAATTATAAATCCATGCGATATGCTTTCGTGCCTATTAACATTATTAGCAACAAAGAAAAATTAGGCAAGAAGCCTCTAAGCCTGTTTGGGGATCTTTCAAAATACGTGTGAGTATAACGCAACAAAAATCTGGTAGATAAGAAAATGGTGATTTTTCTGTGACACATAAGCTGCCTCATAACGTATTATATTAGACTTCGTTTATCAGATGTTTGTTGTAAATAATTACTTTAAAAGAAAATTAAGTTTTCAGAGACATATCACATGCATCAGGGTTTTTAAGAAATTTTATGAATAAAGATTATTCACGTTGAAAATTAAATGTATCTGTTACCCATCTCCTTTCTCAAATCATGATTAGTTGCAAATTTAAATGAATTTTAGTTTAAAAATTATGTATAAATTAACAGATCTTCAGATCATAATAACAGCAAGATTAATATTTAACTATTATTTTAAAATATTAAATTTATAATTTATTAGCCCAAAAGGCTGCTAGTCTCGAAACGGTGATTTTGCGCTGTTTCACTTTAATGGTTTTGGTTTTAGTATAGCAAAGAACTTTAGGAGGGATGCCTTCGAGGAGAACTTTCTGAAATAAATTGGCTCGTATACACGTTCTCATGTTAGACTAAATGCATATTCATTTAGCATCCTGTTAAATATTTCGGTATTCCGCCTGGGCCTCTAATAATAATTTAAACTGATAAACCATGTTAAACTTTAAAAGAGCTCTTTTGGGCGATCGTTAAAGTCTGAAATCTTTCAATTTTGTTTTGTCTTAAACGTTAACTAGATCCCAGTTTACCAATAATTAGAAAATGATATAGAAATTATATGAAACATTACTCGGTGCTTTAATTCAATATAGACGTTGTAATTTAGCTTTTACAAAGCTTACAGAGTTACATTTGTAATGTTTTTCGTTAAAACCGTTTGCATTTTTTTGACATTTTATCTATATTTTAATAGACCTTGTTACTAAACATAAATGGATGGCTCATTCTTTCATCTAAGCCAACGGAAGAGAAAATATGTAACAATTTTGATTTTTTTCTTAAAAGGCTTTTTTCTATAGTGAACAAAAAAATGAATAAAACAATTACTTACTTTCAATGGTTTTTTACAATTGGATCTTGTGCTATTCCATACGAAAAGTAGATTATATGATATAGTTGAAATAGCCTTTATAATCCATATAGTTTCTGAACATTTTCACAGTTATCAATCTTCAGCAAAGTAAGGAAGTCTTTGCAGTCAACAAAACAAAGGTACACAGGTACACTCTTACGGTTAGAACACAAAATTCAACTTGGCGTTGTGTTGAAATAATTTAAAACAGAAAGTAAGGAAGACAATTTTCTAAGTTCTTCCATAAATGCAAAATACTCTCGTAAAGAAATAGGACCCAGTTTTCTTGTAGACATGAAATCAGCCATTTCTTTTTCTGCCTACACAAAATTCCGGCATCTATGTTTTATGCAGTACTCGTTATTTAAAAGAATTCGACAAAATCTTACTGAATAAATATCAAAATGCAGTTGCAGACACTTTGATCCCTGGATTTATCAACCAAATTTTTCATAAAAAATTGCATATCTAATCATTCACTAAAATTTCAAAGTGTTATAATTTTTTAAGTGATGCAATCTTCCACGAATACATAACTAGAGCCACAAGGATTCCAGGAGCGAGAACGATCAGCACAGATCCTATTCAGAGATAAATCCAATTACATCAGCTGTTTTTATCCAGAAAACACCAAGAGAAAGGTGGATTCTTCTACAGCGAGAACGCACAAATAACGAGTCTCCCATGTGTTTCACAAAACGCTTCCTGATATATCCAAATACTTCATTTACCACTTTCAAAGCAAACCCTTTCAAACAATGCTTGCTGGGAAGCTCACCATAGCACTGTGAGTGAAACTGCTCTGTATCAAGTTCGACTGCAAAGCAGAAAGGAAGCCGTAGAACAGGTTCAGGCTAAAGAAACTGGTGGGCAGAATAAAGTAAAAATCCGCGGCCACGTTAGGTAAGAGAATCTCGCTGAGGGATTTTTTTGTTATTTATTTCCTCTCTACAGGGAATTTGTCTTACGTAGGCAGTTCGCTCGCATTAAAGCTGTCTTTCAGTGTTGGATTGTTCGCAGAATGAATGCAAGAAGACCTACGAATGAAGATCACGATAAGAATTTTCCAGTTCTCAGAAAATCAGATATATTTCTCCTAGAAAATATTACATGCAAATATCAGAACCTAATTAATTTATTAAGGTTTAAAAATAATCAAACCAGAAACTGCAGCTCAAGCTTTTTCAATAAACCATCTCAAGCAATTGTTATTCAAATAAGTTTCAATTTAAAAAATGATGCTCACATTTCCTTAATTAAATTGTTTATATGTGCCTGTTAATTATTTCGGTGATATTTCAATAATTATAAGTATGTGAGTTGTAGTTGTTGGTGTGTATACATATGTAACAATACTGGGAAATTTTAAAATCTTTTTAATCACAAAAATTTAATTTCAAATGTATAATGATACACTCCTGAACTTTTTGAAATTCCAGTAAAATTACGCATCATGGTAAAACGTTGTTCTGAAGATATGCATATTCCACTAAAAGCGACTCCCATGTAAGTTAGAATACAGGTGAAAATTTCTTATATAAGCAACGCTGTTTAAAAAAATAACACCTTATCTTAGGATTTAAAAATGAATTTTAAAGATTCATTGGAAAAGCACGGAATTTTCAATCAATTCAGCGTTTTACAAACAACTAAATTTTAGACCTTATGGTAATGAATTTTACATTAAATTTTACACTAAATTTTACATTAAATATTTTATAGTTACACCATGTTATGGAAGTACAAAAACTGAAAAAAGCAGTGCACAAAACTAGCACAACATATGTAAAAATTTGAAGCACATTTCAGTTGGTTAGAAGGCGACAAAAGGATAAAAGAGACAACAGACTGAGAACTCTGAGATATTATTTCAGACACCAAAGTAGCAAACAGTAGTAATTCAATAGCATACATGCAGTTTACGCTTAAATGCCAAGGAACATTGTTACAAAGCATAAAATGCTTTGTAATTTTCTTTCTTTATAAAGAAAAATAATGCAAGAACAAATTTTATACATCCATAAGAAAATTTACATTCTCCCGGTGGTGGTGCAACTGTAGTCTGAAAATTTCATGTTACAGTCTAACACCTCAAAAATAAATAAATAAATAAATAAAAATAAAAATAAAAATAAAAAACTACCTAAAACTAAAATTTAAACTAAATTTAACTAAAATTTTAAAAAGGGATTAAAAATATTAAATTAAAAGTCATAAAATTAAAAATGATGCAACCAGATCTGGATACGTAGAATAATTTTTCGCTATGCATTAATGATTAATTTGACATAGAACCCCGAAATTGACATAGAACATAAAATGTTATATTCAAAATGAGCTATTTAACGTGGCCAATCCAAATGATAGAAAACATTCCTATGATATTATTTCATTATAAATTAGTTCCTAGGGGAAATTTGTGCGCTTATTTAACAAAGATAATACTTAATTATTCAAGACATAGCGCCTTTGTCCGACTGGATCACTTGCGCATGAGGAAACAAATATTTTTCTCAAAAGGCTCTCTACCTTTCGTTCTGCTTTTGCGCAAAATCCTCGAGCAGAAAATAATAAAAACGTCAAAAATGTGCCTGTCGGGACTAAACTACTGACATGTATGCGATGTCCGAGGGAGAATAAAAAAAGTAAAGCATATTAATTGAATTCCTTAAATTTTTATTTATACAGAAAATAAATGTCTTAGTATTTTTCAATGCAAAAACCAAAACATTCGAGATATTTCTTCCATTATAGTACCATTTAAAATACATCTAGCTTATTAATACCCAATTTCTAAACGTGCGTCCATCATCGATTGCACTTCTTCAGCGAACTGAAGCGTGGGGTTTCCCACGCGTGAACTACGGCGAGAAAATGTCGCAATTGCTAGTGTTGTCTACAGTTAAAAAACAATGATTTGTTGTCAGTTTTATTTTGGCTAGCCAGAAAGTTTCGACTGAAATACATAAACATAAGACTTTCATATAAGTGGTGTTCTGAAAACATTCGTGGTGGTCCAATACTTCAATTCGGCTGAAGAAATACAATCGATCATCTGCACGAAGTACGACCAAAAGTGGCCTTCAATGGGCAAGATGCTTTAAAACTAGTGTCATAATGGAATAATAGTCTTACGAGCCTTTGTTCTTACTTTGAAGTCTAGCTAACAGTTGTAGTTACCCTTTGAATGTAAATTGTTTTGTCTATCTATCAGACTTCTAGAGAAAAAAATTAACGAACATAACTTTTTGAAAGCTTTTAACTGGAAGAGAACAACATTGAGAGAAAACATCAACTAGTATAATTGCCAATAGCATCAGTTTAAAATAAATCCTACCTTTTGCTACTATTAAAATCTAACAACTTAATTAGGTCAAAATAATAAATGAATGCTGATAAAAGAAATTATACACTAACTTAAATTTTATACACTATTTATATAAAATATTACAGATAATTCCCAGTACCAGCTATAGTTTACTAATTGACTTTAACTTAAATCTATATTACTATGCGTTTTGCTTTCATCGATTCTAAACATAAGATCATAATTTATTTCCTTCACTAATCATAACAAAATTCACCTCAATGTACAATTTATTTCACGATGACGTAGTTTGTTAAATGTCGAAACATTCGCATGCCATCGCCATTTTCATTCTTCTTTTCAGTAACAATGGTGAATGAAATGAAACATTCTTATTATGTCTTAAAGAAACTGATTTGTATCATGATTACTGAATGGCTGTTAAATTAGAGATATTGACAAACGAACGGCTGACAGTGAAGTTCTGAGACGAAAAGTATTCTTCTAAGAAAGATCCAAATCAATATTTTACGCAACATAACGGTAATAATTACATAACCTCTTGACGATATGTTTGCATAATATGTAACAAATAATGTATATTATCAAGAAAAAACATGGATATAAGAAGGCATTCAAATTCTATTGGTAAAAAATATAGAAAATAATAAACAATATACTCTTCAGGTTCATGTTAAAATAAACGCACATTTTGTTATGAGATTACTTCGAAATTTAGCGAATTATAGTAGTTCCAGATTAATCTCTCTCAGTCGCGAACAATTTCACACTTTGATTTAAAATTCTATGAGATATATATATTTACTTTTCCTTTCACATACCTACTTTCACATTATAACAGTATTTTTCCTCAGTAAAAATGACCACGAACACAAATATTCATGCACTCTATGCATTTCTTTACTTGTTAAATGGGATAAATGGCGGTAGTCCATACAATATGATCATATTATTGATTTTGGTTTTCTTTTACAGTGTTCAAAATCGGGAATAAGGCTTGGCTGTTTGCCTCTATCTTTCTCTCTCCTTCGCGGATGCAATATCGTCTATTCCTTATCTTGCACCCTAGATAAAGTCGTCGGTGATGAGACGGCTAAAAGACCTTCGGGGTCGGACAGTCCCAATGAAATGCTTTCAGGAAATACAATATACTCGAAAGTTCGTAAGTTTACTTCTCATGAGTTAAAAAATCCTTCAACTATGTTATTGCAAGTAAAGACGTGAGACATTCTTTTCTTCCTACAGCATTTTGAAAAATGAATTTGTTTCTTTAAAAGAAGCAGTTGTTTATAGAAATCTGTAATTAATTTTCATATTCATTTTTAATGCAAAAATGTTTTAAATTAAAGGGAATTTTTTTTAAAGTTATATTCTGTAAAATCCTAGTGTTAAAGCTTACAGCGTATCAAGTTATTTCCACATGCTAAACATGATATTATTGTATAAAACCCGTGAAATGAATGAATGATTTAGCAGAAAAAATGTAAAGATAATTTATGATAAAAATGAACTGCAGAGTTAAATGTATTTATATAGAAAATGAATACATTTTATGCCGAATTTGCAATTACTAAAACATATCTAAAGTATTATGTCTTCCTTTTTTACTTCCTTGTAGAGTGTAAAAAGGAAGTATTGTAATCACGAAAAATTTCGGGTATCATATTTCAACGAAAATATCCATTTTGACCTCTATCTAATGCATTTTAACGATGTTTTTGCGTGACATCTGTGCGTAAAAGCAGAATAAAAGACTCCTGAAGAAATCCTACTCCTCCAAAAAAATTGTAAAACTGATTTAAAATTAATTCTGAAGAGATATTTTTCGTGGCGTGTGTACCGTTGGTACGTATGTACGTATGAGTCTCGCGTAACTCAAAAACAAGTAGCCTCAGACCGTTGAAATTTTGTGTATGGGACTACTATAACATGTAGATGTGCCCCTCCTATTTTGGTTGCAATCGACCGCACCAAAAGTATATAAATATATGCATATATACTAGGCTTAGTGAGCTCAGTTTCTTTATTCTTATATGTTTGCAAATTGTGCATTTTTTGCTTTAAAAATGATTGAATTATGACGTTTTTATCTTTTTTTATCTTCGAGTTAAGGTTTTCATGAATTTAGTTAAGCTGCATGCAATAACTGTGGGATTATTAACAATATAAAAGTTTTTTAAGTGTGGCTAAGCCTAATTTTTGTTAGCATGGCAGCCATATTTGTTTACATTTGAAACTTAGCAGAATAGTAGATTTGTTGCCAATCTGGAGAAACTAAGCTTCGCAACAACAAAGAAATGTCTTTTTTTATTATTGCGAATTACATTAGGCTTAATTCCTTAATTAATCATTTCTAGAATTATCATTTAAGTTATTAGCTTGTTTTTGCGTAGAAACAGTAATTTTATTCTAAAAATTGTTTTAACTGCATTTGGTGTTTTATGTCTTTCTATGTCTTTCAATTTCATAATCGTTATATTTTGAATTTTTATGTATTTTTGCCTTGC